AGCCTCAGTGTTCAGTCAAGATGTGGGAGTTTGTAGGAGAGTTGCTTTCAATTGAATAGAATTTGGATTATTCTAAGAATATATTTGTTGGAAAAACAACCAATGTAGTTGCTTAAAACTAATTTGGTCTAAATAAACAATATAATGATCGAAATCTGAGCAAACCACCAGACAAAACCAGTATTAATACGTCAGTGTTAATAAGTGTTTTCTCCCATATCAGGGTGTCTATGGGAGTGGCGTCCTCTGTAAGGGACAGACTCTCACACTAGAGGTTGATGGTTCAGATCTGTCTCTCTCTTTTGAAAGTTGCAAATAAACTTAATTATTTTGGCTGATGAGACTAATTTGCATTGTTTTGCCCGAGTAAAAATATAGATTGGGAAAATTAGGTCGGTTTAGTAAAAATATTGGTTGAACAAAACTTCCAACCTGATTAAAACCCCCAAAAAATGGAAAAACTATCATGTTTGAATAAAAATGACTAACACCTTTCATTTTGTTCATCATTGCCCAATTTGCACAAATACTTTCACTGTCTGCTTGAGTTTATTTCACTAAAATGGCAGAAAACTGTGCACCTTAAATGATTGCTCTAAGATATTTTACACTTAAAAAAAACTTAGAAAAATTTTATTATACACACCAACAATTAACAATTTAAAGGGAACTTAAAAGGGGAAAAAAAAAACAATTGCAAAAAAATCACAATTTTATTACTAACTGTAGTTCTGTTGTCCACCAGTAGGTGGTGACATGTTCACATGAAGCCTCATGAACTGTGGGGATCATTGAAGCAATTTGGCCAAACGGTTCAAAGCCTCATGAGGCTTCATCTCACCATCACTAGTAACTGGAAACGGTAGATTTCCTACAAAAACGACCAGCAAATTAGATTAAAGTTAATAATTTTTCAAATTTGAAGAAGCTTTAATTTTTAAATTTCACACCAGATCTTGATATTTGCTGAGAAGCTTCAAGGGGTGCAGTACTGTCACCCTGAAGTGAAATCAGTAACTGGAAACAAGGTTTTTAGGTAAAATAAAGCTGCATTCTGGTATAAAGTGCACAAATTAACCATGTAATATAATAGAAAAAAAAACATTATAATTCTCATATATCCATATCCACAGAAACATAAGAAATTGGCTACTTTTTAGACCAAAGGGGTGTAAATTTAACTAATTATTTTTAATGAAGGTTAAACTTGTGGGTTTTATTTTGAAAAGCCAGCGTTGGTACCGTATTCCATAGTGTATGCGTGACCCATAAAAAGCCAGTGATGGCTTGACGGTCGTGGAGGCTGGCCGGCCGGCCGCCGCAGTGCATCGAGTAGCAGCGAGTCAACAGAGAGCAGCTGCCCTAAAACCAGTCACTCTGTAGCGGCCCAAACATGAGGCTGCTGCCCCCCTAAACCCGAAAGAACCAAACAATAACCCATCTTTTAGTAGCTTCCTACCGTTTCCTGGGTGTTTTATCGGAGGCTGCCAGCAGTTTTCCAGCAGCCTGATGTTTTTTTCAGCCTCTGTGATGACCTCATCAGCAGCTCTTGTTGGTAGAAATGTGGTAAAAATGTTTAGCTCTCTGTCAGATGATCCAAATGATCGAGTCTTGTCTTGTTGTTGCGTTTAATGGCGGTTGGCAAACATCTTTTCGGTGCGCATTACCGCCACCAACTGGTGAGGAGTGTGGATCAGAATGGCCCTATTCAAAAAGAAACTTATATTTATTTACCTATATCTATAATATTACTTTACAAATACTAAATCCTCCTAATTATTACTGTTATTATTAAATATTTAAATAAATATTGATTTTTTTTTTTACTTTTTCATCAGAATATCTATCAAATCAAATTAAACTTTCTCCTTATTTACGTCTCAAATCAAATTCCTTCTTTCTTCTTACAAAACATCACTACATGTTCTGCTGTGTCGTCTTGTCCACGATATTCACATTTGCCTGACATGTTTCCCCATTTTGAATTATGTATTATTTCATCCTTTATGTCCAAATCTAAGTCTTGAAATAACTGTTTCCTCATTTCTCAGACTTTTCGTTGAATCCTATAAAACCACCTTCCCTTCATCCTTTGTTTAATGATACTTTTAACTTCTTACTTAGAATGGTTTTATTTTGTGATGTTTCCTTAGCAATCTTATCTGCAATTTTATTTCCATTAATCCCTATATGTGCTGGCACCCAAATAAATAAACTAATACCCATCATTTGAACTTGATATAAAACTTTATTATTTCAATTAAAATGTCTGATCTACTTTCCGAAAAAGATTTTATATGCTGATTAAAGCTGAACTCCAATCTGAACATATAATTTTTTGGTCTCACTTCCTCTATCCATTGTAATGCTAATAATATTGCTAATAATTCTCCTGTATATNATATTAGCTTATTTTATTGCTTTTGAAGTTGAACAACCTCACAATATATAACCTAATGTAAAAATCAGGAGAAGTTTGAAGTTCCACATCTGGATTATATTTGGTTAGAAGCATCTATGAGTTCCCTACTGTCAGCCTGAAGCAAAATCAGTGACTGGAAACAGTAGGTTTCTTACAAAAACTGACAGCAAATTAGATTAAAGTTAATAATTTTTCAAATTTTAAGAAGCTTTAATTTTTTAATTTCACACCAGATCTTGATATTTGCTGAGAAGATTCAAGGGGTGCCATACTGTCACCCTGAAGTTAAATCAGTAACTGGAAACAAGGTTTTTAGGTAAAAATAAAGCTGCATTCTGGTATAAAGTGCACAAATTAACCATGTAATATAATAGAAAAAAAAAACATTATAATTCTCATATATCCATATCCACAGAAACATAAGAAATTGGCTACTTTTTAGACCAAAGGGGTGTAAATTTAACTAATTATTTTTAATGAAGGTTAAACTTGTGGGTTTTATTTTGAAAAGCCAGCGTTGGTACCGTATTCCATAGTGTATGCGTGACCCATAAAAAGCCAGTGATGGCTTGACGGTCGTGGAGGCTGGCCGGCCGGCCGCCGCAGTGCATCGAGTAGCAGCGAGTCAACAGAGAGCAGCTGCCCTAAAACCAGTCACTCTGTAGCGGCCCAAACATGAGGCTGCTGCCCCCCTAAACCCGAAAGAACCAAACAATAACCCATCTTTTAGTAGCTTCCTACCGTTTCCTGGGTGTTTTATCGGAGGCTGCCAGCAGTTTTCCAGCAGCCTGATGTTTTTTTCAGCCTCTGTGATGACCTCATCAGCAGCTCTTGTTGGTAGAAATGTGGTAAAAATGTTTAGCTCTCTGTCAGATGATCCAAATGATCGAGTCTTGTCTTGTTGTTGCGTTTAATGGCGGTTGGCAAACATCTTTTCGGTGCGCATTACCGCCACCAACTGGTGAGGAGTGTGGATCAGAATGGCCCTATTCAAAAAGAAACTTATATTTATTTACCTATATCTATAATATTACTTTACAAATACTAAATCCTCCTAATTATTACTGTTATTATTAAATATTTAAATAATTATTGATAATTTTTTTTTTACTTTTTCATCAGAATATCTATCAAATCAAATTAAACTTTCTCCTTATTTACGTCTCAAATCAAATTCCTTCTTTCTTCTTACAAAACAATCGCTACATGTTCTGCTGTGTCGTCTTGTCCACAATATTCACATTTGCCTGACATGTTTCCCTATTTTGAATTATGTATTATTTAATCCTTTATGTCCAAATCTAAGTCTTGAAATAACTGTTTTCTCATTTCTCAGACTTTCCGTTATAAAACCATCTTCCTCTCCTTTCTTCTTCCCATTGTTTTTGCCACTTTTCCTTCATCCTTTGTTTAATGATACTTTTAATTTCTGTCTTACTTAAAATGGTTTTATTTTGTGATGTTTCCTTAGCAATCTTATCTGCAATTTTATTTCCATTAATCCCTATATGTGCTGGCACCCAAATAAATAAACTAATACCCATCATTTGAACTTGATATAAAACTTTATTATTTCAATTAAAATGTCTGATCTACTTTCCGAAAAAGATTTTATATGCTGATTAAAGCTGAACTCCAATCTGAACATATAATTTTTTGGTCTCACTTCCTCTATCCATTGTAATGCTAATAATATTGCTAATAATTCTCCTGTATATACTGATAATTCATTATTTATTCTCCCATTTACTTTGATATTGAAATCTGGAACATAAAATGCATTTCCTAGCCTATTACTCACACTCTTAGATGCATCTGTATATATTTGAATATAACCATAATTAATATTAACATATTCCTGTATCAGTTTATGATAAATATTGCCTTCCTTTTTATTTTCTAACCATGTCAATTCCACTGTAGTTTCAGGTATGATCCAGGGAGGGACGGTACGGTGCATGGAAGCAAATCGTTACCATATTTCAAATGAAAAAGCGTTTCCAGAAATGCTTTTTCATTTTAAGAATGTGGCTGCATTGTTTGACTCATAAATGAAATTAGTAATCAATCATCCTATTTGCATTTTCTTCTTTAAAGGAATAGTACACCCAAAACGCATTCAGCTCGGCAAAGAACTCATGCTCTTCCTCAACACTGAAGTCCTCAGACATTTTTCTTTCGTTGTTT